TTACTTCATAAATGTATAACACCGCGAATATAATATACGTTAATGGCTGCGTTCAGAGAAAATAGCTTTTTGTTGTAAAATTCTTCAATACAATTGATTCTTACTTTTCTTTCTTTATGGATTTAAATGTACAAGCCAATCACATATGAGAATTTTACAATAGTTTCAAAGCTGCTTTAAGAATTCTTCTCTTCTTCTCTTTAAGAATTCTTTAAGAAATATCTTTAAGATATTTCATAAAGAATTCTAAAAAATATCTTAAAATTGTCTTATATGTCGATTTTAGACATTCTATGCTCATTGAGCTCGTAAAGATTCTCTTCTTTCTTCTTAATAATTAAACTCACCTTTTGTTGTTCTTAGCCAATATTCTGGTTTTATAAGCCAGAAATCGACAACAAAGAGAAATAACTCTTTTTTGCTGTCGATTGTTGTCGACTAATCTCGCCGGCAATAAAACTTTATGCTTTTATATGATGCGTGAAACACGAACGCGCGTCACGAAGAGGCCATATTAATAAAATTGATTAAATATTATTATAAACAATTATCATTAATATCATTAATAATACAATAATAATAATAATTCTATTGATATATGAATAAATTTCGCGTTTATTTTCCATTCACATTTATTTAAAATAAAAATTTTAAATATTCGACTAAAAATAAATCTAAATTAAAAAATTTTTATATCAACGTTTTATTTCAAGAGAATATTATGAAATTAAATTAAATTTTTTAATATAAATTTTATAATGTAATCAAAAAAACTTAATAAATGAACTGGATTACTAAAATGATCATCATCCGATAAAATTCAAGGTCCATAGGCCCATGTCAAAGGTACGTATTTTTAACGATTCGAACGATTCGTTGCTGAATCTCATCTCACAAAACATGCGAAAATGAGAAATTCAGATGAATGATGTAAAATCCGAAAGGAATAATTTTCCCTCATTTCAAATATATTCCTATCGTATTTTGTATATTGTTAAAATAATTTTTTGAATAATTTATTATTTATTATTTCAAAATTAAGTATTTTAAATCATGCAAAACTTTGAACACGATTTTAAAATAAATTATAAGATAAGATTCTTATATTTATTGATAAAATGTATATTGGATCTTACATCATGTTACTACTTAATTGGATAAAATCCAGTTACTACATATGGATAAGTTATAAAAGATTAGGCTGTGTGTGAAGTGAGCGCATTAATAAATAATAATAATTAAACGTAAAATGTCTTTTACAGAAAAGCGAGATTAATAAATTATATGCTTTACATTAAAATTTTTGTTATCATTTCATTAGTAAGATGTATACAAATAAGTGTGAAACACAAATAAAAAGAATTTCTTAGAAAACAGTTAATATTATACGTTTATGTGTGTATATATAGGTATTGCTTTTCTGCAGTAACTTGTATAAAACTTAATCCTGAATAAATATTTGAAAACAGGATAGACAGAAAAAATAATAAAACAATATTTATTAAACTGTGTAATAAACACTTTTCTATATTATGGTATCCATATACAACAATTTCATTTACTCTAATTATTATTTTATATAATCTTTATATTTTTTAATTTTCCGTATTCATATATTTCATATATTTAAAAAATACAAATATTTTATTCTTTTTCGTTTTAACACTTTCAAGATATATTATTTTAATATAAAAAACAATTCGAAAGAAAATAACTTAAAGTACCCGGTAAAAAATTTTTTATGCATGAATATGTATAAATTTAATACGATTTTCTTACTCGAATACAATAAATAGTAAATACAAGTAGATAAAGACAAGTAAATATAAATGAATATATGAAGACAGGTCAAACACGAACTTAAAAATAAAATGGTAAAGTTTATTAAGACATTAATCTATATCATAAAAGATGTGAAAGTTTTTTACAATAATTAATAAATGGAACGTTTCGATTTTATTTAGTCATCCTCAGATTTACAATAATAACAGTAGTTGTATAAGATTTAAACGTTATAAATAAATATTGCAAATAAAATTAAATATTGGAAAGAACATAGAAAAACTAATTAACAAAATCATATCAAAGGATATACTGCAGTAAATAAATTATTAAAAATTAAGTCTTCTTTATATTGTATAATAATTGTTGAAACTTTCTTTAAAGATGAAAACTGGAGTCAAAAGGATAAGATTTTTAAAATCGTAAGATAAATCAATGGTCAATAAAAGTCTTGAGGTATATTTAATTTTTCAAGGTATTAATTTTATAGATAGAATCTGTAAAGAGATATAGAAGAGATATAGAAAATGATCATTTATTGACAAGCTTTTGCTCTGACAAGAAGCCCTTTCACTGTTTTGGACATATTTCTTTACAGATTCTACCTAGAATTATTATTATCTTGAAAAATTAAATATATCTCAAAACTTTTATTGACCATTGACTTCATTTATCTTCATTTATTTTATAATTTTAAAAATCTGTTTTATGACTTTAAAATCCCACTTTTTTTATCTTTAAAGGAAGAAAGTTTCAACAACTATTACATAAAGAAGATTTAATTTTTAATAATTTATTTACTGCAGTATATTGTCCACCTTTGATATGGTTTCGTTGATTAGGTTTTCTATGTTCTTTCCAATATTTAATTTTTTTATTTGTATAATAATTTATTTATAACGTTTTAATCTTATACAACTATTCTTATTATTATAATGGTTGAGGATGACTAAGTCGAAACGTTTAAATAATGTAATTTATTAATTATTGTAAAAAACTTTCACTTTTATGATGTAGAATTAATGTTTTAAGAACCTTTTTCATCTTATTTTTAAGCACATGTTTAATCTATCTTCCTATTTATATGTATATAAACATACATAAATAACATAAATATTCATAAACACGATAATCATACACAAAATACGAATGAATATATTTCGTGTATGTTTATTAATGAATATTTATGTATGTTTATACACATTTATACGAAATATATATAGAAGTATATATATAGGAAGTTCATTCTCTTTCTCTTTTTAAATAATTAATTGTTCGTTTCAGAAAAAGCAAGTTTGAAAAAAATGTAAAAAAAATTGCTCATAACGCAATTATATATAATTTTAAATATAATTATACATAAGTAATTTTTTTACATTTCTTCAAACTCGATTTTTTCTAAAACAAATAGTATAAAAATTACCTTTTAATTATTTTTAATGTTTTCACATTACTATTATTATTTCTATCACACTAAAAAGTAATTTATAAAAGTAATTTATAAAAGAAAGAGAGATGTATAAACATGTATGGACATATTTCATGTATGATTATACATGTTTATGGATATTTATATATATTTATACGTATTTATACATATTCATGCATGAAAAATTGTTTACTGAGTGGGTGTGACATTATAAATTTCACAGTGCATGCACAACAAATTTCATATAATAAAGAGATATCCAGGATTAAGTTTATCCCAATCTGTTATTATTTATCTTTATATTTTGAGGCAATCAATGTATGGAATGCTATACATACAGTTATCCATATATTATTAATAAATTGATGCATATGCATCTACAAATACATAGTAATTAATAAAATTTCCACACATCCATTACCCCAATAAAAACATTAATTTATTACTCACTAATCTGATGCGCAACAACGGAGTTATATCAGCAACGTCGCTACGATGATTCTGTAACAAAAAAAAAAAGAAATCTAAATTAAAACAGTACAAAAATCAATCATTATTTCAAAAAGTATTACTAAATGCAAAGTTCTGTCGAAAATAAAATTATATAATATTCAAAATGTATAATTTTTATAAGCATCGAATTTTTTAATTCATCATTCTTAAAAATATATATTTATAAAATTTCAAAATAATTTTAAAATAATCCTTTTATTCTAATTATAATTTTTAATTATAATTTTTAAATTACAATGAAACTACTCAAGAATAAATTCAACAGAAGAAAGATACTGATGTTATATAAGTAAAAAGATACTGATGTTACGTAAGTAAAAAATAATATTTACCGCAAGGTTGCTCCGTCGGTGCCCGATGCCTCTCCCAGATCTCTTCCTCCTCTCAGAATAGGGTTGACATCCTCTCGCACGGGACACATAAAACACTCGCGAATAATATACTATAATCGCGCGTGGATTATTTATAAAAATCTTTCGCGCGATACTGCGACATTCCACGTTTACAAAATCCGTGAAAGGATTGCCATTTCGGTCGGTGGAATCAACACCACACGTCGACGAGTACTTGCGAAACACACGATGAATGCTAAATAAGAATTAAAGCCCCACACGAAAGAAGACGAAATCGATTGTATCGAGTCCATCACCTCTATTTTATGCAAAACTCGTTTAAAATTGGCTCAGGCATACGACCTAACTGTTAGTTCTAGTGGGACATAAGTAGTGCTGTACCACGAGCGATTCCAAAAGACTGGTAGACGTGACAAGCGCCTCTAATAAGAGAAAAGTTGGTACCATTGCCGATTGTCTAGACAATCCAGGAAATGAGATCCAACTTCTCGTCATGAAGCTAGTTTTAAAAAAAAAACTACTAGAGCTAGGCTCTGCCCAAGTCAGATTAAACGCGATTTAGACTGGTAGATAATAACAGAGAAATAAGCGCTCTGACCATAGTTATACAACTCCTTTTTGGGCGACTCACCAGGGCGGAATTCTATAATTTGTTATGCAATTGTTATGTGCTCATAACGACTGCATAACTTGAATTATCGAATATAGGTCCAGAAAAGAATCCGAATCGATCGATCGCTTCTTGTCGCTAAGAGCCGAACCATTTGCCGACAGACAGAGCGTATCCTCAATTAGCCGACAGCAACAATAGTTGCTAAACCGCGCGAACACTCACTGCAAAGTGCGTGACATTACGCGGTCGACATCACCTCGTGCCTGGAGCACTTGGTGAGAGCGTTGCAGTGACCGTGGCCACCTCAGCAATGTCCCAAAAAGAGAGTTCCGCTTTCCTGTCGAAACATCGCAGATATGATTTCATCGTCGAACTAGAATTCTTCTGGGTTTTGTTAAAAAGTCCAATAATGGCACTCCCGAAGCAAACGCGCGACGCGATGAACCAACTGCGGTTCGTTCAAATAAATCGGCGGCGAGTACGTACGTTAATTTCCCCGAATTTTTACATGAAGATAACGATTTTACAATATCTAAAAATTTATCTAGATATATTCATTCAGACAGATTCGAAAATTTTTAGATACTTGGGAAAAACCGTTCTTTTCATGTATATTCTTTGGGTACTGAGCCCTCTCACCACTTTAAGGTATACCCGTGAGAAGGAAAATATCATCTGAAAAATGTAATATACAGCTATTATCTCTATTCTATACTACTGTGTAATTATCAGTTAATTTTTAAAAATAAATATCAAAAACATGTCATCATCATCAATTCGTCACTATTGCGAAGTAAATTCAGAGCAGATAAAAGGGCTGAATCTTTTATTACCTTGTCTGTAAAATATTAGATAATTTAATTAGAGTCAATCAAAGATTAATAGAAAAGAGAAATATTTTTTTTATTATCGATAAACAGTTTCAAAGTTATACTCAATTTTTTATCATGAAAGATGCATGAAAACGAAATATTAATTAAATTAGATTAATTGTGGATGTAAGAATTATATGAATTGCGTTATCTGAGAGTATTTATTAACGTTGCTTTTTTATGATTCATGTGATACCGTTCGAAGAATAATCGAGAATTATACTCAAGTGAGATGAAAATGTTACATTAAACAAAAATAATTTTTGTCCGTAATCGCGAAATAATAATAAATTCTGTTTTTCCATTATTTTTATTCCAAATGAGTGAACTGTATGAAATATCTGTAACATATTGTCACCTCAATTTTTTTATGAATAATTAATTGTGCAAGTTAGTAATTGTATACTGATATGATTGTGAATATTGATAAAGTATGAATATTGATAAAGTTTCGTTATATTTGGCATTTTTTGCCATTACGTTTAAAAAAAAAATGTGAAGAAGAGTGACACAGCTATCTGCTTGTAGAGTAGCTAAGCTTCGGTAAGGGAATGATTGCGCGGTAACTACGCGTAAATGTAACCGTTTGCTCACCCTTCTACAAAACAATCTCCAAAGCCGCGCGCCGATTACCTTATTGTGGAAAGATTAACGCATGTTACAAAATTAATAAAATAATCTATTTGTTACATTTTTACTATCCTTTGATTAATAGACTTTAGCTTTATTTTTTATATTGGTTACGTGCACACTCAGCTCATGAATATCTTAAATATTTTAATTATTTAAAGAATGTATAACATATTATCAATCCTTATTTAGTAATTATAAATTATAAAGAAAAACGATACAAATCTCTAATTTTAGGATGTCAGAAACACTTCATATGAGCAATTGTGTAAAAAAAATCACTTTTTATCACTTGCCTTTTCAGCACGTTAGTTAATAAGAAATATTCGAAATTCTAAAACAAATGTTAAATATTTTCTTCGATGTAACACGATATAATACGATATCACATAACTCGCGCTACTGAAACTATAATGTTTCCGAATAAATGTAAAGTTCCGAAAAAATTCATATATAAGAAATTGTTTCATTCCGCGACAAAAAGTACTTATATTTATAAATTATACTTTTTTTTAATTAATATAAAGACAAGTTATCTACATATTAATATATACCTAGTCGTATTTAAAATAAAATTATTTAAAATGTTTTTAATAAAAAAGATAAAAGGATTTTTATTTAGTATTTATTATTTTAAAATAACTTCTAATCTACTTCTTAAATAATATTTTAAATTTACGGCATTTATTTTATACTTTTTAAATAAATCGTATCAATTGATCGTATTTAAAACAATTTTATTTAAAATATGTATTTTATAAATAAAGATAATAAAGCAGTTATTTAGTTATTATTTAAAAAAAAAGATAACTCAATAACTTTCAGATAACTCAATAACTAAACTTTTTGAACAATCGACACTTGAACTATTTTTTTTTTTAATCAATATAATTATCACAATGTATAAATCAATATAATTATCTCAATTGTATAAAAACAATTATAAAAGTGTCAACATATAATTAAATTAAATTATTTAATTTTAAATTATATTTCGATATAATATCTTAATATAATACTTGTATAATCTACCTCTTGCATCGTCGATTGAAATCTAGTCATTATATATCTCTTGACAGCATTTAAACGCACAAGTTCAATTTTTAAAAGTTACATATCTAATTTATATCTAAATAATACTGATATATATTTTAATTTAGCACGAAGAAAGCGGCTTTCAATGTTGGATCTTCTAATAGCGGAATCTCGTGAATATCTTATGATTGATACAAATATTAGAGAAGAAGTCGATGCTTTTGTATTTGTGATACGTTTTTATAATAATTTCTTTTGATTTTTTTACGCATTATTTGCTATTTCAATATATATATATATATAATGTGATTGTAAAGCGATAGTACAGCAGCAGCTGTAAGCTTTATTTTAGTATAATTAGCTGAGTATAAGGATTCAGGTATTTATATCATCAAATATAAATTGTTATTCTTAGATTTCTAAAGAAATTAATTAATTTTAATAATTCTAGAAATTATTATTATTATTTAAAATATATGAAATTAAATATTTTAAATGTATGTATGTAATGTATTGTTTCTCTGTATAGATATGCAAAAATATATGCGTGCAAAAATATATATATATGAGCGCGTATATGTAGGTATGTTTCAAGTATTCTCTTTTTCAACATTTTTTCCAATTTTATATACACATAATTAAAACAAGTTAATTTGATATTTGTGAAAAACATTTCTGAAATTTCATAGAGTTTGTTAATTGTGTCTATATAAATGCATTAAAATAACAAAAATGCACTTTTAATTAGCATTACTGATATAATATCATGATACAAAAACGTATCGTGTTAGGAACGAATCTATTATTACAAGGGAATGAGAAGAAATTTACTTTCGAATTGTTGAAACAACTACCATATTTAGAAAGATGTATAAAGGAAGCGTTGCGTTTGTATCCCAGTGTACCGTTTATATTTGGGGAGAAGAATTTTTTATCTTATTTTTAAATATATTATTTAATCTCAAGTAGCAAGAAGACATTACTTGTAATTATTTTGACATGAAAATAATAATAATATTGAAGAGAAACTTTATTGAAGAGAAAAGATATCATTATATACTCGTTAACAAAATTATCGCAACATAAATTTACATAAAAATTTTGCATAATTTCAAGTAAGCGTAATTTTGTGAAAAATGGATATATTAAAAAAATTTTTTTTTTTTCATTCAAGGATAAAGTCTATATTTTAAGATTTTCAAAAATTTTGAATTCATTCTTATTTCCACCCATAATTTTTTTCTAAAGTAAGGAAGTGTCACATCTCCAAAAAATTGCATTTAACACATGCTGTGGGATGGAAGGAATTTTTTTTGTTATAATTTTTTGTTATAATAATCATCATAAAATTTGGATTTTTCCTTGCAAATTTAAAAAAATTGAAGATTTATGCGATTTTTTTCGGAGATATGGTGTACCAAAATTATCTATGCATTTTTATTCAACTACCGCCAGCATTAACATTATCCGCATCATGGGGAGATTCCTGATTGGATTTTGTGCATAAGTTATCATTACTCTAATATACGGCAGTATTATTTATCATGCTCGCAATTCTCTCCCTCTCCTGTATATACGATATAGCATATAAAATTTTCTAAAAATAGTATTATACTTACAATTACATTATTATTTAAATTATTATAATACATAAATTAAAGGCATATATTCCTGTTTTATATTTGCAGATATTTAATTTAAAAAATTTAATAAGAACTTGTAATTATTATTTATAAATCTCATTTTATAATATCCTTTTCAGAATCATATTTAGTACCTGCTGGAACAATGATAATTATCAATATTTATGCAGTCCACAAAAATCCCAATTTCTGGCCAAATTCAGAAGTACAACTATTTGATCCAATAAATTCTTATTCGAGAAAATCTGAAATCGTCACCTTTATTCGTATATACTATTCAGTGCTGGATCACGTAACTGTATCAGTAAGCAATAATTTTTTATACCTTACATAAACAAATCGCGGTATATATAAAATTTTAGGCCAACGATTTGCTGGAAGATAATGATAGCTTCTATGATATACAATTTTTACTTGGAGTCTATTGATTATTTAAAAGATGTTTAGCTACAAATTGATATCACACTTTGACCTACTCAACCATTTCGTATAAGATTTATCTCTATTCACAAAATTAATGCAAATATTTGAATCAAATATCGATTTAATATATATCGTAGAAAGCAAACGTCGAAGAAATAGTAAAATATGATGTATATTATAGAGAAGGGTGAATAGTAACTCATTACTTTTAACAAAGTTATAGTTAGTAATAGTATTACTTTTTTTAGGAATTATAATAATTATATTTTTTGGTAACTACCGACTAATTTAATGATTATCTTTATAATTACTTTACATTTTTATGAACGTATTTTACAAACTCATTATATATTATTGTAACATATGAGCTGCATTTAGCAGAATAAAGCGATTAATGAATAGTCAATGATTATTTTTTGAAGTATGAATAAAAGTATACTTATACTTTTATCTCTGATATAAGCTTATTCCATAAATGTATTAAGATTTATATCTAGGATTTATATTCTTTTATGAATCCATCTTATTATATATATATTGGTCTCAATTTTTTTTTAAATATAATACGTTTATTAATTTATTATAAATTATTAATTCAGCAAATATATTGAAATGTATTAAATTTATTTTTTAATTTTTAAAATAAAAATGTGACTCATTATATAGAAAATAATATATAAGTATATATGTATAACCGAGTATTTTAATATAATAAATAAAACAATTAAATATTATTCTTGAGGTTTCGGGTGTTTTTTATAAAGATTATGTGTATTTGCGGGTTTTCTCCATGTCCAGAACCATTTTTGGAATGCCAACATTTCGTGAACCTTCCGCTTCATCAGGGCGAAGAGCAGCCTGATATCAGGACTATTTAGAACATCAAGACTAATTAATATAATTTTATCCTATTGCAAATAATATAGATTTAATAATTTGTATGATATAAGAATTCAAAAAACAGAGAACCAAAAAAACAAATCTTGATTAAATTAATTATTTGACAACAAATAATGTTTATTATTATATCGTTCTCATTTATACTTATTGTATTGATATAATTATCAAGTGTTCAATTATCAAACCAATTCGCGCAGTTTGAATAGCTACAAATATGATATATGTGTGTGTGTGTGTGTGTGTGTGTGTGTGTGTGTGTGTGTGTGTGTGTGTGTGTGTGTGTGTGTGGTGTGGGTGGTGCGCGCGCGCGCGCGTGTGTGTGTGTGTGTGTTAAGCGTACATAATAAGTCTTTTTTAGACAATAAATATTAATTTTTTGATTAATATAGTTATTTGAAAAATGATAGAATGTATAAAATGTGATGATTAAGTTTATTGTACAATATTTTTGCATCAATATTTACAATAATTCTGCAGGAATTATTAATAACTGGTTAATAAAGCAAAAGTTAAAAAATAATAACTTTTAATTTAAATTAATAATCAATTAATTTTAATAAAATAATTTTTAATTTAGTTTAAACTTGAAATTTATTAATATTTTTTCAGTTAAGATTTTTTCTCTCAAAATGCCAACATTATTTTCTGTAAAATCTTAAACATTACAAAATTAATTTAGAAAAAGTTGAATGATTGTATGATTTTTAAAATTTCTTTTTAACATAAATATAAAAATATCAGTCTTGTATTATACAAGAAACATTTTTGTTATGTCATAAAATATCTATTTAATTTATACAATGATTTATATTGTAATCATATTGTTACTTAAAATAATTTGATTTTAAGACAAAATAGAATATTCTAATTTAATAAAAACTAATGTTATTCAAAATTAATTTTCTATTTAACCTGAATTAATTAAATCTTAAATAAATTTAAATAAGTTAATTTTTGGTTCATCCAACTTTTAATTTAACTGAATTAATTTTATAAGCCATTAACTTTAACTTCATTTAGTTTAAAAAAAAAACATTTATTTACCTAATTCTGTAATTCTATAGGTTTACGTAATATACATATGCATACATGTTTTAGAGGAACAATTTAAAAACTAATTAATTTTGCGGTCCAGTACTATCCTATATGAAAAATTTACTTATTCTTTGTGATTTATTATCTAGATGATTTACAGATAATAAAATATGAAAAAATATTATTTTATTTTTGATATATAAATTTTATTATTGATATATAAATAAAAATAAGAATTAATATGTTTTATATGTTATAAAAATAGGTTTATTCACAAAAAATGTATTAAAAATGACTGAATATTTGAAATATTTTCAAAACTTATTGCGTTTCTTATGAGTCAAATTCTGTTTAACTCAATATTGCCTACAATTTCAGATAATACTAAGCCGTAGAAAATATATTGAAAAGAGTCCCTTATGATATTGGAAAACCTTGGATTGGTATCGGTCTAATCACTACCGAAAGCAATAACATTAATAAGAATATATAATATAGAAGTAAACCAGACATCAACACAGACAAGCACGAGTCTCTCGTCAATCGGCGAAGATAATGATCAAATGACACTTTGCGCAGCTGTTATACTACAGGATCTCTATTGTTATAAGATAAGAAATAAATCAAACAAGGGTTTTAAGATTATACCTAAAACTTCTACTTCAGATCTAATGCAACCGGCAATATGATTCCATTCAGGACATGTATTATGGAAATATTGGGAATATATTTCGATTTGGAATTGTTCAATTATTCCCTAAATTTCTAATGTGTTTTCTAGGGAAATAAAGTATAATTCTGATCTATTCTAAATAGTATAATATGTACCCAGATCCACATTTAATTCCAGAAGACATTTCCAGAAAATATCTTTATATTTTTTTGTTTTAAACAAATAAATATATAACGTTTATAAATATATAACGTTACTAGACCCTTCGCGAAATTGATATATGTGTGTATAGTATTGAATAAGATTGCCCAAGAGTACACATTTAAAAGTATGTATACATTAAGCTTTACGGCGTATTAGATCGCAACAGATTAGATGCAACTCATACGTAATACAAACTCTTTTTAGTTAACTGTTTAGTTAACTTTTTAGTTAACTTTTAATTAATCTGTGTATAAAAGATAGGTAGGACTGTTGCAACAATAGAGAAGATATATTAAATTTTGTGATTAGCAAATTTTGTGATGATAGCACAAATTAATTTCTTTATAGTGTTAGATTGTAATATTAAATAGCCCTATCAGTGTTAGGCAATTATATTATAATTATCTAATTTCGATAGGGCCATTAATATATTTATGGCAGAACTCTCAAGAAAAGAAATTATTGCGTTGTATCTTGCGGAAAAACAGTATGCATACGAATCAACAAAAAATGTTTGATATTTTAGTGAAAAGATTCTAGAACATCTTATATATATATTATAT